AGCTAGGAGCCAGGGACTCCATCCAGGTCTCCCACATAGTTGACAGAAGCATAAGTACTTGGGCCATCTTCTGCTGCTTTCCCAGGCACATGAGCAGAAAGCTGGATCAGAAGTGGAACAGTCATGACTCAAACCACCACTGTGATATGAGATGTCAGAGTTGCAGGTGGTGGCTTCATCTATATGTAACAACAACAATCCTGAGACTGAACATTATTGCATATTACTATTTCCAAATGAAACTCTCTTACACCTGTCACATTTATCTTGGAATCTAGATAACCAAACATAGTACCATCCTACAGAACATGTAAAGAATGGAGAAGAAGGAAAAGTAAGATCCAAGGAGCCACATAAAATAATCATTAAGCCTGAAGCCAAAGATTTCATAGGACATCCTACCTTAAAACATACATACAAGAATTTTTGGTTACTTACAAGATATAGTAGAAATGTAGCAAAAAGAAGCTCCATGGTATTGCAACAATATTAATTTCAATCACCTATCCCACATTTTTAATTAAGGTATTGATATATGTATTAATGCATTTGAACATGCTTGTGAGTTCTGGGACACTCAAATGCTGAGTATCTCAAAATTTATTATTACTTTTTTTCTGTTTTACCCCAAAATAAAACTACTAATTCCCAGGGTTGTTTGGTTTTTAAATTATACATAAAACACAGTTATTTACATACATGTCAAAACTGATGCAAGTACACCATCATTACTTTCTCAAAATATGGTCCACAGTAAATCTACATTAACAGGATCATGTAGATAAAATCCAATCCAATGTAATAATATAATTCTGAATTAAACCCATAAACCCAATGCATTTCATGGACACTGTTGCCAACACAGATGTACTCAAATATTATTTCTTCTTTCAAAGGCCCATTTAGCTAGCTACACAGATGACCCAAATATGTGACCATGTAACACAGTTATAAACTGGTACAGTAGGGAAGAAATTTTGTAAGAAAACATTCTTCCACAGAGTGCCAACATATGTCAGATTGGTTGCTGTTATTTTGCAATGACATTTCTCAAACATCAGGGAAAGGAAACATTCTATCCAATACCTTTTTTAAAAAAATGTTCTTTGTCCCCTCTATTAACTTGAAATACCCAATTCCCAAAGTGTGTTTATTTTGGATTTTGCCTACCCTGTTTTGTTAACACTTTAAGATTGAACTGATCAATCCCATGTTTTTTTCTCCTGTTATTCCCAACCTTTCTATTCCCATATGAGTAATTCTCCATCATCAAAGACACCTCCTATTGATTTGTGTCCTGGGAGAGCCTTCCATCAAAAGTGAGAGAGGACATCAGCCTTGCCTGCCCCTCCCCTCCTATTCATTCCAATGGGACTATGGTAATTTCTCTGTTGTGGACTCTGGGACTCCTGCTCTGCTTAGTCCATCCCTTGCTCTGCCTAAGTTATATCTGGGAATAATGCAAATCTCCTCTAGGGGTCACGTCAGTGAAATCAGTGTGCATTTCTACCTCTACAACAGCTTTGTAAGTGACAAGAGGATGTCTGTTTGAGTTGTGGGGCAAACCTGGACAAGTAACAGTCTCCTAACTTGGGTAATATGCCTTTACATTGGTGCTTTGTGACTCCAAAGGATCACAAGTCCAAAACAGACCATAGACTGATGGAGAGTCAGCAGTGTGACATTCTGCAAAATGCCTTCAGTGTCTCTTTCTCATGGAAGAAGACAGGGGCTGCACCTCCCTCAGTGCTAACCTCTATGTCCGTGGAAACATCCTCGGTCTGAGCAACCTGGCCATGCTTGATGCAAGCACATGGAATCACTTATTTTCTTTCATCCAGATTCCTGCCTCACTTTCAAAATGTAAGTAATTCTGTTAAGTAGAGTTTTAAAATTAATTACATTCTTGGCATTGAATTCCTACTTTTTAAATGTTTGATCATTTTTATTTTATTTTAAAGGCAGTGAAACAGAAAGATGAGAGCTTTCATCCACTGGTTCACTCCCCTAGCATCCACAATAGGCCATGGGCCAGCCCAAAGTCATGAGCCAGGAACCCCATCTGGAGCTCTCATGTGGGTAGCAGGGGCTCAGAACTTGAGCCATCACCTTCTGCATTCCCGGCACATAAGCAGAAAGCTGTCTTAGAAACATAAGAGGACACAGGGGAAAGTGAACTTGATTCCAAGCACTGCAATATATGATGAGTAGATCCCAAGCAGCAGATTAACCCTTGTGCCACAATTCTGGATTCATATTAACATCTTTGTGCATCAAAAATGTCACCCTGTGTAGAAATCTATTAAAAAGATGTAATAAAAGCAAATTCCCTAATAGAATTTTACTAGGATTTTGGTAGTTTTTTTTTTTTTTCAAATTAATTCTATTTCAAAGCTGATAACTTAGGTTCTCCAATTATTATAATGCATTTTTTCCAAAACCAAAATTCCCACATTATTATGAAGTCCCAAACATCTGATTTGCTTTGTGTTATTCCACCAAGAACCTGGCCCTTAGACAATAAGTCTCAAAATTAATTTTAGGAACAGAGAGAAGATATTATTATTTATGGCAAAGCTCATGATTTCTATCCACACATCTTAGATTATTATTATGTTTAAAAATATCCTACACATAAAGCTTGGCTATTTTTAATGTTTAGATTAAATTAAAACATAGGCCATTTAACCAAAAAGTCCTTCAAAATTATTTAAGACTCTAACATTTTTATTCTCATAATCTGTCTTCAAATCATTGTTACTTTTTTCTTTCCTTATTTTGCTTGCCCTTTAAGTAAAGGTTTTAGTTGTTTATTTTTATTTATTTGGAAAGCAAAGCAAGGTAGAAAGGAAGAGAGAGAGAGAGAGTGAGATTGATTTTCCATTACATTAACTGGTTCACTTCCCAAATGCCCATAGCAGCTGGGGCTGGGCCAAACACAACCAGGACAATAACAACTGCTGAGAAAAGGCTGACAACAAGAAGAGGAGAATTTGAACAGGAAAAATGAAGAAAATTATAGAAAAAAAAAGATTGTGAATTAGTAGCACGTCATCACTAGTCTGACCCCTGGAGCAAGCATGTCACTGGGGCAATCACAAGCACAAGCAGACACCACTGCCTTCCAGCCCCAGCCACCCAGCAGGGCGCCTGATCAAGGGTGTGCAGGTACTGAGTCATGCTCAGTCCTTGAGCACTGGGTAACGAGCTCTCTGCTTCCTGCTCATGAGTGCTGCATGAAAGAAACTGAAAATAAAGCTCAGGGGTTTTTTTATTATTATTATTTTTGCCTATGTGGCCGGGACTCTTTCTTGGTCCTGAAAGTCCAGTGTTTTACCAGAATATATCTAACTGCTTTAGTGTTTCACGTTTACTTGGAGAAAATCTTGAATCCTGAATCAACACACTATTTGAATCTATTTATTTTATTGTATTTACTTCCTCATATACACAAATTCTATACACTTTCAACGTGCTGATTATAATCTCTTACTATTCATTTCATCTTATTACTTTCTAAGCCTTTGTGAATTTTTATGAGTCTTTTGATTAACATGCACTGATGGCACATTTTATGGGGGAGAATGTAATATTTTAGCATGTGTATACAGCATTCCTGATAAAATCAGGCAATTAACATTCACACCTCTTTTATTATTTCTTTATGACTCTTCTGAGTCTTATGCCACCGTCTCTATTTGTTTTAGTTCTTTTTTTTTAAGATTTTTTTTTAACTTTTATTTAATGAATATAAATTTCCAAAGTACGATTTATGGATTACAATGGCTTCCCCCCCATACCGTCCCTCCCACCCACAACCCTCCCCTTTCCCACTCCCTCTCCCCTTCCATTCACATCAAGATTCATTTTCGATTATCTTAATATACAGAAGATCAGCTTAGTATACATTAAGTAAGGATTTCAACAGTTTGCTCCCACACAGAAACATAAAGTGAAAAATAATAGATGATTTTTTAAATGATGATGAAATCAGATCAGACCTATTGTCATGTTTAATCCCAGTGAGAGTCAATGGAAATTGATAATTTCTTTTTTTTTTTTTTCAGAAGATCAGTTTAATATGCATTAAGTAAAGATTTCAACAGTTTGCACCCCCATAGAAACACAAAGTGAAATATATTGTTTGAGTACTCGTTATAGCATTAAATCTCAATGCACAGCACATTAAGGACAGAGATCCTACATGAGGAGTAAGTGCACAGTGACTCCTGTTGTTGACTTTACCAATTGACACTCCTGTCTATGGCATCAGTAATCTCCCTATGCTCCAGTCATGAGTTTCCAAGGCTATGGAAGCCCTCTGAGTTCTCCGACTCTTATCTTGTTTAGACAAGGCCATAGTCAAAGTGGAGGTTCTCTCCTCCCTTCAGAGAAAGGTACCTCCTTCTTTGATGACCTGTTCTTTCCACTGGGATCTCATTCACAGAGATCTTTTGCCAGAGTGTCTTGGCTTTCCATGCCTGAAATACTCTCATGGGCTTTTCAGCCAGACCCGAATGCCTTTAGGGCTGATTCTGAGGCCAGAGTAAATGTTATCAATATTGCATGCAGAGCTAAATTCCTCAGAGTTATTTGTACTTTTGAACCATCGTGGAGAGTGTATCTGACTCTTCCTCACCATGTCTTTTTTTTTTTTTTTTTTACAGGCAGAGTGGACAGTGAGAGAGAGAGAGACAGAGAGAAAGGTCTTCCTTTTGCCGTTGGTTCACCCTCCAATGGCCGCTGCGGCCAGCGCGCTGCGGCCGGGGCACCACGCTTATCCGATGGCAGAAGCCAGGTACTTATCCTGGTCTCCCATGGGGTGCAGGGCCCAAGTACTTGGGCCATCCTCCACTGCACTCCCTGGCCACAGCAGAGAGCTGGCCTGGAAGGGGGGCAACCGGGACAGAATCCAGCGCCCCGACCGGGCCTAGAACCCGGTGTGCCGGCGCTGCAAGGCGGAGGATTAGCCTAGTGAGCCACAGCGCTGGCTCCTCACCATGTCTTCTCACAAGACCTTCAGAATCAAGAGATTCCTGGCTAAACAACAAAAACAATACCACCCCATTCCCCAGTGGATTCACATAAAAACTGGCAATAAAATCAGATATAACTCCAAGTGGAGACATTTTAGAAGAACCAACCTGGGTCTTTAAGGAATTGCAGTTGAAAAGATGGCACATGTGCTTATGCAGTATCAGTTCACTGTCATTTCCACCACATCAATCTGAAGATGTCACCATCATCTGGATAGCTGGGCATGTTTGATTAGGTCTATGACTAGTGGGTTAGTTCATTAATAAATATGTTATACATGTTGAAAAAAAGGTGAAAATTACTTTAAATATCTTTTATTTTGGGAGAATTTCCAGAAATAATGGCTAATTTCCAAATCCAAATCATGCATATAGAAATTTATGGGTTTCTTATCATGATCCCAAATTCTCTACCATAAAAAATTTTAAAAAATGGCCTTCAGGTAAGTAAAATCCTTGATTTCAGAAAGAATGAGATTAAAACAAATGCTGTCCTATGATAAGCAGTGTTACATATTATGTAATAATCACAAAAATTACACCCTTAGAACACATAGCATATAATTTAGAAGTTACAAATATATCCCTTGTAATTCTATAGCAACTCTTGTGTTTTACTCATTTTAGAATTTAATTTAGAACTATAATTAAGATGCTCAAGAATTCTTTATTCACAGTTATGAACTAGTAACAATTATTCAAACCAGGAAAATTCAAGTGCTATGAAAATTGAGTATTAAGGTTGTTGATCTTTGCTTTATCATTGCTTTGTTATTTTTATTTGAAAACAGTTCCCTGGTGTTGAGTCATCTAATAACCAGAAACTGAAGCACAGATATAGACCCAAATCCCAAGCCTATTAATCTCTTGGTTATATGACTTGATATATACTGCGCCTGAATACCAATTCACCAGCTTTATTTGCAGTCTAATGCTATCCGCTCTTCACAAACTTTTAGAATAATGTGTCCTTTGTCACATCCTCTAAATTTCTATGGCTGAGCATTTAGTCTAGTTGATAAAATGCCTACATCTCACATTAGAATATCTAAGTTCTGCACTCTGGCTCCTGACCTCAGCTTCCTGCGAAGATGGACTATGGGAGGAAACAGTAATGGTTCAAGTAGTTGCATTCCTGCCATTCACATAGAAGAACTGTATTGAGTTCCTGGTACTTGGATTAAGCCTAGCCAAGCCAAGAGTCATTTTGGGCATTTGAGAACTGAGTTGGCAGACAGGAGCTCTGCATATATTTCTCTCTCTCTCTCTCTGTGTGTGTGTGTGTCTCCATCTCTGTCTCTTTGTTTTTCTTCTCTGTGTGTATCCAATGCTTAAAGGATAAAAAAAACTCTACTTAGATGCACATGGTCTGAGTCCTTTTTTTAAAATAAGCATTTACTTTATTATCTTTAAAATATATTTATTTTAATTGACCCAAAATTAATACATATTTATGGGGTACAGAGTGACATCTCAATACATGAATTCAATGTGTAAGGATCAGATCAGAGTATAAGCATATATATCACTTAAGATATTTATCATTTCTTTGTGTTAGTTACAGTCATTATCTTCTCTTCTAACTATTTTCAAATATGAGGGAACATCAGCAATTTGCTGGAAAATAGAATTTAAAGATAAATTTATGTTGCTGCAGAAAATTTTTTGAAATAAATGCACAGTTTTTTAATACATATTTTCCATGAACTTTTAAAATCGCTCTCATGTTCAGTTATTTGCTGTCAACATTAGTAATCCTATTGTTCTTTAAATATTAGAAGTTATTCCTCCTATCCTATCTACCTCTGTATCTGTTAACCATTCTTTTTTTCCCCATCCCTCCCAGGGTAGCAGTAACCACTACTATTCTCTATTTCTATTTTCTTTTTTTAACTTTTATTTAATAAATATAAATTTCCAAAGTACAACTTTTGAATTATAGTGGCCTTTCTCCCCATAACCTCCCTCCCACCCACAACCAACCCATCTCCCACTCCTTCTTCCATCCCATTCTTCATCATGATTCATTTTCAATTATCTTTATATACAGAAGATCAACTTAGTATATACTAGGCAAAGATTTTAACAGAATGCACCCACAAAGACACACAAAGTATGGAGCATGTTTAGGTAGTAGTTTTACCATTAATTTGCATAGTACAACACATTAAGGACAGAGGTCCTACATGGGGAGCAGGTGCACAGTGACTCCCGTTGTTGATTTAACAATTGGTGCTCTTATTTATGACGTCAGTAATCACCCGAAGCTCTTGCCATGAGCTGCCAAGGCTATGGAAGCCTCTTGAGTTCACCAACTCTGATCTTGTTTAGACAAGGCCATATTCAAAGTGGAAGTTCTCTCCTCTCTTCAGAGAAAGGAACTGCCTTCTTTCATGGCCCGTTCTTTCTGCTGGGATCTTACTCACAGAGATCTTTCATTTAGGTAATTTTTTTTTTTTTTTTTTTTTTTGCCACAGTGTCTTGGCTTTTCATGCCTGTGAAACTCTCGTGGGCTTTTTAGCCAGATCTGAATGCCTTAAGGGCTGATTCTGAAGCCAGAGGAATGTTTAGGGCATTTGCCATTCTATGAGTCTGCTGTGTATCCTGCTTCCCATGTAGGATCATTTCTCTCCTTTTTAATGCTATCAATTATTATTTGCAGAAACTGGTCTTATTTATGTAATCCCTTTGATGCTTAATCCTGTCTTTTTGATCAATTATAATCTTCAACTGATCACTTTGACTAGTGAGAAGGCATTGATACATGCCACCTTTATGGGATTGAATTGGAATCTCCTGGCACATTTCTAGCTCTACTATTGGGGTAAGTCTGAGTGAGCATGTGCCGAACTGTACATCTCTTCCCTCTCTTATCCCCACTCTTATATTTAACAGGAATCACTTTTCAGTTAAATTTAAATGACTAAGAATAACTGTGTGTTAATTAAAGAATTCAATTAGTGGTATTAAGTAGAACAAAAAATACTAAAAGGAATAAATTAGTAAGTTGTTCCTCGGCAGTCAGGACAAGGGCTGATCAAGACATTGTTTCTCATAGTGTCCATTTCACTTTTACAGGTTTCCTTTTAGGTGCTCAGTTAGTTGTCACCGATCAGGGAGAACATATGATATTTGTCCCTTTGGGAGTCCTTTTTCAAAAGTTTTTATCAACATAAAGAGAATAGATTCCATGCATTCCATTGATATAGTTCCAAGAATACAACTACACATCCTCACTCTCCATTTCCCCCAAATCCTCCTTCCTCCCTGCTCTGTCTTCATCAGTTTTTGCAAAGATATAATTTTAATCTACTCTATTTTCATAGGCTTCATTCACCACTAGTAGAAATACCACAGTTCCACAGAAATATGAAGAAGAGCTAAAAATGACAATCATATACCAAAATGTCTATTTCATTCCTATTTTTTTATTCTGTTAACTGCTACATATCAGAGAAAACATATTTGTATTTTTGAGACTATTTTACTAAGCATAATGGTTTCCAGTTGCATCCATTTTGTTACAAAAGACAGAATTTCATTCTTTTTTGTGATTGGGTAGTATTCCATAGTGTATATATACCATATTTCCTTTATCCAGTTATCAGTTGATGGACTTTTGGGTTGATGCCACATCATAGCTCCTGTGAACTGAGCTGAAATAAACATAGGGGTACAAATCTCTATTTCATATACTGATTCCATTTTGTTTGGTTAAATTGCCGGGAATGGCAGACTGGGTCATATGATGGATCTATTTTCAGATCTTTGATGAATTGCCATACTGTTTTCCATAGTTGTACTAATTTACATTCCCACCAACAGCAAATTAGGGTACATTTCCCCCTACATCATCACCAACATATATTACTTTTTATAACTTTGTGGTTTTTATTTGCATTTCCCAAACAGCTAGTGATCCTGGGCATTTTTTTTTTTCATGTGTCTGTTGACCATTTGTATTTCTTCCTTTGGAAAATACCTGTTGATGCCATTTGCCTATACTGGATTATTTGTTTCGTTACTATTGAGTTTTTTGAGATCTTTATACACCTTTGATATTAATCCTTTATCAGCTGCATAGTTTACAAACATTTTTTTCCCATTCTGTTGGTTGCCTCTTCACTTTACTGAGTGTTTCCTTTGCAGTGCAGCACCTTCCTTGTTTGATGTAATCCCATTTTTCAATTTTTGTCTTCATTGATTGTTTTGTTTCTTGGGACTTTTTCCAGAAGTCTTTGCCTATGCCAATATTCACAGGGTACTCTGATGTTTTCACCTGGCAATTTGATGGTACCAGATTGTAGATTTAGATCACTGGTCCAGTTTGAGTTGAATTTTGTATAAGATGTAAATTAGGGGACTTGTTTCATGCTTCTGCCCATGTAGATCCAATTTTCCCAGTACCATTTGTTAAAGAGATTTTCATCTCTCCAGTGATTGATTTTAGCTCCTTTGGCAAAGATTAGTTTGTTATGAATGTATGTATTAATTTGTGGGGATCCTATACTGTTCCATGAGTCTACATGTCTACTTATGTTCCAGTACCAGTGTGCTTTGATTATAACTGCCCTGTAGCATCACTTGAACTCTGCCATTGTGATGTCTTTACCCGCTATGCCATAGTGTTGGCCCCTCACATGAGTTTAGATATGTTGTATTGCTATCTTGTTATTCAGTTATCTTATGTTTGCTTATTTTCTAGTTTTTCTTAAGTTGTTAATTTCCAGCCTCATTCCATTTTGTTTAGAAAAGATAACAGGGTATGATTTTGAGTCTTTTGAATTTGCTGAGACTTGTTTTATGGACTAGCATTTGGTCTATCTTAGATAAAGTTACATGTAGTGATGAAAATAATGTGTATTTTGCAACTGTTGGATGAAAGTTTCTGTAGATATCAGGTCCATTTGGTACATACGGTTGATTAGCTCTTTTTTTTATTTGTTTTCTATGTAGTTGATCTCTCCATTGATGAAAGTGGGGTGTTAAAAGCCCCCCATTATTATTGTATTGGAAGTTATATCTCTCTTTAGATTCATTAACATTTGTTTTAAATAGCTAGCACCTTAGCATTGGGTGCATATACATTTACTATAGCTACTTTTGTGGTTGAATTGATC